CTAGCCTTTAGCCAGAACTTGGTCCAGTAGCTAAAGACTGGAGATTTGCTCTCCTGATATGTCTGCCCCCCAACTCAGCTGGGGTTTTCCTCTTTTACGCTCCTCCCTCCAATTCTGATATCTCCTATAGGTGTAGCAAGGCACAGCCAACTGAATCCACAGTAGCTCATTAACCCTGTACAATTTGTAATACTGGGGCCGGCAGGTCTAGCCCTGCCCATAACTAAAAGGCCCACCCCCCTCAAATAAGCAGAGTAAGCACTAAGTCCAGGCCACAATTGATTTCTGGGGACAACAAATGAGAAAAAAAAAAGAAACAGGAGCAGGAGTGAGGTCAAAGGTTGGAAATCAGGGATCTGGAGCACGACACTGAGCAGAGAACCCCAGATAGCACCAACTACTCCTCAAAGGTGTCTAGAGAGTCAGTGGATGCTGCTCAGAGGAACTCTGCCTGGAGGCCTGATCATACGAGGGATCAGAAATAGACCCCCACAGTTACAGAGCACGGTCCTGTCCAGCTTCTTTCTCCTAGTATAATGGATGGAAATTTTGGGCCAGCACCAGGAGGAGATTAAGGAGGCCTCATGACTTTCTGGGTCCACAGATGAGGTGTGCCACAACCAGGAAATGTGAGGAAAAGTGCAGCCAGATCTCAGTAAGAGGTTCTGGAGGAACCGGAAGAGGGGCTGCAAGTGTGCTAGGCTCATTAGCCATATGTTGCTGAGAGTGGGGTTTGTAAACCCCATCACATGACTCCAAACTCCTCCTATATGAAGTGGGAATTTCAAAGAAATTCCAGAAATTGAATCTCGGGGAGTTTCTCAGCCTCCTCAAACTTCTTGGGAATCAGATCCTCAGCTGGTATAAATCTGCCTGGCTCTGTTGAAGTCAATATGATATACTAATTTATACCAGCTGAAGATCTGGCCCATTGTGGCTATTTCTTCAGGACCACACAATTGGATCATTAATTTTAATATTTTGTTTGTAGTTTTCTATGAAAACTCACTGGCTAGCAACCGCCCAACTGTTGAATGAGAATGGCCATCAGTGTTGGCACCTGCAGCCTTTATCAGTTTTCTTGGCAAAATCCATTAAACAGAAATGGTGAATTCAAATTATCTTAATTTCTTCAAATTGGAGGCTTCATACCCACCATGACAGCCTCATGGTAGAAAGTAATATCTTTTTTGTAAATTGTTAAGACAGATGAACTTTTGGTGACCTATGACAGAAATGTCAACTTTCAAATTTGCTTCCCCCCGTGCCATCAATATCCCATTATGCATTGGTTCCCAACCTTTCCAGACTACTTCCAGGAGTCTGATTTGTCTTGTGTACTCCAAGTTTCACCTCACTTAAAAACTACTTGTTTACAAAATCAGATATAAAAATACAAGAGTGTCACAACACACTTGTACTGACAAATTTCTTACTTTCTCATTTTACCATATAATTATAAAATAAATTGATTACAATATAAATATTGTACGTATATTTCAGTGTACCTGAATCCCGAGTCCCGCTGCCCAGGGCTGAAACATATAACTTAGCTTCATGGGGCCCCCTGTGGCGTGGGGCTCCAGGCAATTGCCCTGCTTGTTCAAATTGCTTTAGAACATTAGCTCTCAATCATCCTGCCAGTGTAAGGGTCTGTGTGTTCTCCGATTTTTATTTATTCTGCATATTCCTTTTAGTAAGGAAAAAAAATAAGATTTGCTTGTATTTTTAAAGTGAATTAGTGTTCATGAAAGGAGGCGGATTGAAAATCTTGGACACTGAAGTATTCAGAATTGCAAAAGCATTTCAAGCAGCAGCATTCCAAGTTTACCTAAACTGCATCACCAATGTATTTAACCTGAATGGGTAGGGACCAGCTTTGGCTAACAGAGGGAGCACAGTCTCCATCCCCCAGAATGGTAATAAGGCTGCCAATTGCTGTGGTGATGATTTTGACACCTATTCACTAGGCACTATCCTGAGATCACAATCTCATTTCACACAGGCAATTGAATAACCAATCAGATATCACCTAATCACTTTAGGTAATTACCGATGAGTTGAACTGAAACTAGTAACACAGAGGCCTTGGCTACACTTGCACGTTACAGCGCTGTAAAGCCTCCCCCAGCGCTGTCACTCACTCCCTGTCCACACTGGCAGGACACTTACAGCGATGTATCTCCCTGGGTACACCGCTGCAGGTACTCCACATCTCCGAGAGGAATAACAGCTGCAGCGGAGTGGCTACGACTCCCAGGTGTGAGTGTAAACGCTTGCAATGCTGTACTAATCACCTTGTCAAGTGGCCAATCCTTTCCATTGTTGTGACCGGCTGCAGGAAGGCGGAAGTGCCGGTTTCAAAGCTCGTACCACAGAGAAAAGCAAACAGTTTGCAGCTGGCTTTGAGTGAGTAAATGAATGAGCAGGGGGCCAGGAGTTCGGAACTTGCAAAATAGAGTGCTGACATGCTTCAAAAAGCACTCTCTCTCCCCCTCACACTCCCTGTCACAATCCACCCCCCCCCCCCGTTTTGAAAAGCATGTTGCAGCCACATGAATGCTGGGATAGCTGCCCATAATGCACCGCTCCCAACATAGCTGCAAATGTTGCAAGTGTGGCCACACCACTGCGTTGTCAGCTGTCAGTGTGGACAGACTGCAGCGCTTTTCCTTACTCAGCTGTACGAAGACAGGTTTACCTCACAGCGCTGTACAGCTGCAAGTGTAGCCAAGGCCAGAGTTGAAAGTTCTGATATGACACTGCTAAGCTCCAGTTACCCAAAATAAAACTAGTTTACATTAAACTTGTGCCTTTCCTCCTTTCTCTTTCATTTTTGGAGTTAAATTGGCAGATGCTGCATATAGCTACTGTCTGTAGCCACTCAGAGCACCGGTAAAGAAGAGATTTGTATCTTTATGGAAAAGGTTAGGGAATTTTTCTTTTTTAAATTCTAGTAAGGTAAGTGAGTGTGATTCTCCTTTTTCAGTGGGTAAATGTTATTGATTTCACCTGGATTCTTTCTGACCGATATGTTAGATCAGCAAAAGCTGCTTACTTACCATAGAAAGTGAAATAGCCAAAAACGGCAGTCATTAAGTACATAACGAACATGGCAAAAAATGAGATATTTGAAACCATTTGCATTCTCTTCTGTGTGCGACTGGAAAAAGAAGAAAACATAATAAATGGCTGCATTTTGTTTGAATAACTGTTGTAGAAATGTATTAACCTTTGCACAAACAAAATTAACTAGCATCGGAGAGACCCCAGAGTGTGTCTTTTCTTCATTTAAATCAGTGATCCCCAATAGCTGTACTGAAGAAGGAGAATGATTGGGGGACTAAGTCTCCCAAAAGCCACTGGTAGACTCCCAGTTTTGCTAGGGTTTTAAGTCAAGAGAACATAATGACCATTCTGTGAATATTGCCATCCCCAAATCCCAATGGGTGGCTATGGCTCCTTGCAGTAACCTCTGTAGCAGAGAAAGGGTCAGCTTGGAACTGCTTCTGTGTGCAAATTAAAGGACTAGTAAAATAACAGAATATTAACATCCTAAATGTTTGCAAAAAATGGTCTGTGTCCTCTGGTAAGGAGAACTGCTGTAGTTTAAAACAAATTGGGTAAACATAAACATTTCATTTTTGACACTTATTTTGAAATGCTTAAACCTGGGTGCCTAGCATTGGGCGCTTAATCCATATTTTGATACCAAAATAGAAACACCCAGATTTCTAGAAGAGCTGAGC